AGCCCAAGCTCAACCAGACCATCAGGCCTAGATCTTGAACCTAAGCCCGACCCTTATATAAAGCCCGAAGCCTGACCTGTACACAAAATGTCTTATTTTCAATATGCTTTTATAAATTAGTATTATATTAATTTAATAAATTAATAAAATAATTTGTACTTCCTAATAATAAATTAATATTTATTAATAATTTAAGAAACAAATATATATTATATATAACGTAAATGCTTTTTATTATATGTAATAGTGTCAGGTTGGGCTCAGGCCCGAACCGAACTTATTTGAAAAAGCCCGAACCCAACCCGAAAAATGACGACCTGGTATTTAAAGCCCATGGGCCTGAAATTTTATCCAAACCCGAAAAATAACCATAGGGCTACCTGACCCATTAACAGGTCTAACAACCCACTCCCCCCTCTCTCTTCCTCTTCTCTTTCTTCTCCCCTCTGCTCTTCATCTCTTTCCCTCTATCTCACTTACATCATCTTTTCCCCTATTATTTTTACTCTCTCCTCCATCTTTACTATAACTGAACCAAGTAATCTCACAGCCTCAGTTGTTGAATCCCTATTCAGATCTCTCCACCACCAAGCTTTATTTCATCATCAGCCGTGAAAACACTACTAAAGCAGCAGTGAGACGGTCTTGCTCAAAAGCCCTAAATCGGTGGTCCACATTCCGACATCCTACACCAATGGAAATTTGGTCGTACGACATCCTACTAAATACCCCATTTCACATCATTGTTTATAGCACCAGCCTGTACTCCATAGAATAACAATGACCAGCCATTCTTTCATTGTCAATTCACCTAACACCAAACCCCCTTTATCTTCCATTTCTTTCCACTGTTTCACCATTGGTATGTAATCAATCGAGGTAGTAGTAGCCAAATACTACCATCGTTCTCTATTTTTATCAAATTTATTTGTTTCAATCAGATGTCAAATGTTCAATCCACCACAAGGATTAATAGTCAAACCTATTACATTTCATGAACAGAAGTCCTTTTCATTCTCCCACTATTTTTTCTCCTAAAACCTTTAAATGACCTTCAAATTACCTCTCGGCATCTCGGTCCACTTCTATCTTTATCTCTCTACGAGGATTCCTTTAAATTCTCTTTCGAACGCTTTTAGATCTATTAGTGAACCTAGCTGTAGAAGAAAAGCAGAGGAGAAATGCTATCAAGGGTTAATGGCATCGTTGGGATGGAGGAACCAGGAGAGAAAAAGATGATGTTTCATGGACCAGGAACAATGTCGAAGGAGGAGCAGACAATAAACACGAGATGGGCTCTTTGTTTATGTTCAAATCCATGCTTGAGGAGGACATGAGTAGCAATGAAAACCCATCTCAAACCATCCAAAGCCATCACGAAATCAAAGGCATTGCTTTCTCTGTTTCATTATGGTTCAGTCTTAAGGTAGAATACAATGAACAATGTTTTGTTTTCAAGGATATATAGCTTTGACATTTTGAAAAATTTGAAGTTGCACATGTCATCACGTGATAAGATATCTGGCAAACTGTTAATGGTAAGGACTAAATTGATACTTTTTGAAAGTTCAGGTATTGCAGTGGCACATTAGAAAATCCGGGTATTAATTTGTAGGGATGCAACTTGGGCGGGCCCAACCTGAGCCCGAACTGGCCCAACCCGGAATTTTACATGGGTTGGGCTTGGATTTTTGGCCCTCAGGCTAGGCTCGGGCCCAAGAAGTCGGGTTTTTTTTATTTTGTGGGCTGAGCTCGGACCTAGCCGTTAAGCAACTCAAACTCGGCCCGAGCCCGATCCAATTATATACATTTATACATATCTNCCGATCCAATTATATACATTTATACATATCTGTGTATATATGTAAATATTGCATACATATTTATATATATATATATATATATATATATATATATACATACATATTTGTATATATAACATTTGTATAGATATTTTGTATACATATTCACATACGTATACATATATTTATATAAATACATTTATAAATGTATAATTTTAGAATGGATTCATTGACCAACCCAAACCTGACCCTGACCCGAGCCCAACCCGAATACATCAATTACAAAGTGGGATTAGGCTCAGGTTGAAAAAATTGAACTTGACCTTGGACTCAATCCTTAAACACAAATTTTAAAACCGGGCCTAAGTTGAACATAAACCCAGCCCAACCCGCCCGACTTGCACCCCTACTAACTTTACACTACCCCAAAATTTTAAAGTGAAATTTACCCTGTATATAAATACATCACCGTATCAAATTCCTAAACATGCGCCCGATTTTCATGTGTCCATGTCCGTGCAACACTTACCAGTTCATAGATGAAGGAGGCTGAACGAAGGGTCATGTGCGAGTGCCACCAACACTCTCCCACGTTCTAAAATCGGAAACCACGCGTAAGTCACTTTTCTGACACGTGGCTATATTATGTCTCATCATCATACGAAAGTATGTTATCACCCAACCAAACTTCGTTCCTACACTGAAAATTCATATATCATCCAAAACTTTACAGCTGGATTGTTTTCTAAAATGGATAAGAGCTGGCAAAAAGTTGATCCAACCCGCCAATCCTATCCGATCCAACCTCAAAATACAGGGTTAGGTCTCATGTTTAACTACCTGAATTTAAGAATGACTTGATCGACTTAATTCGGAAAAAATTAGGTTACATTAGGTCATAGGTTAATCGGCTGACCCAATTGATAGGTTTAATTGAGATTATTTATATATTTTTAGAAGTTTCTACTCTTTAATAAGGGCAATTTTAGGGCTCTAATATCAATAAAAATAATATTTAAAAAAAATCAAAAATAGGTTTACTTTTTTAAAATAATATCAATTAAGGGCAAAAACATTATTTATCACCGCCGCCACCCGCCGTCGCCTCCAACAATGCCTCTGCCTATCTCTGCCACCTCTGCCTCCGGCAATGTTGTTAGAGGTGGGCGGAGGCAGAGGCGACGGTGGTGGCAATGGTGGTCATTCCTCTGCCCAATGCCGCCACCTCCGTCCACTAGTGTCGTCGCCACCTCAGCCTCCACCCACCTCTAGCAACGTTGCCAGAGGTGGAGGTGGCAACGTTGGGTAGAGGAATGACCACCAGCGCTACCACTGCCACCTCTGCCTCTGCCCACCTCCGACAACATTGCCGGAGGCGGCGACGGCGGGCGGTGGTGGACGACGGCAGTGATGAATGGATTGCAAAGAGGGAAAAGATGAACAGTGTTTTTGCCCTTAATTGATATTATTTTTAAAAAGTTAACCTATTTTTTAAATTTTATTAAAAATATTACTTTTATTGATATTAGGGCCCAAAAAGTTGCCCTTATCTGCTATAATCCCTTTTTTATTTAGTCTTTACTCTTTATTGTTCACTCTTTGAATTGTTAAATGCAAGATTTTTTTAAACTAAACCAATTAGGGGTTTGGTTCCCGGGTCAAATAGTCTGATCATTCAAACCGAACAAATGGCCTACTCTAACAAAAAAATAAAAGAACAGCCAAAACCATTGGACGGTTCGAACGGTTTGGAATGCTCATGTTAGTGGTTTACTGGGCAAAATAATGGTTCTAGGATAAAACAGAACCTATCACCTGACTGGTTCCTAGTTTTCTGGTCCGGTCTGGTTTTGAAAACCATGGTTAAATGTTCAAGTTTTTTTATTTTATATTTGGAAATTTAAGATTAATTTCTTTAATTTTGACATTTTCATGTATTTTTTTTTTTAATTTCAATTATTTTTTGAAATGACCTGAATGGACCCATGGGTCAACCCTAACCCAAACATTTAGAGTTAGGGTCCAACATTTGACAACCCAACCCAAAATTCAACCTGACCCGGTGTCTTGACCCAACCCGAACCTGACCTACCCAACCCAATTGCCAAGTAGAGGATAAGTTATGTTACTTACAAAATGGGTTCCATTTCTCCGGTAGATATTTGGGGACAAGGGTTCCAAAATCCTGACGTGGAAATTGCTTTGGCCACGTCAGACCAAGATGACATTTCATTGGACATTCATCATGAAACAATCTTCAAGGTTTGTGCCACTTTTTATAATAGAAGAAGGGAACGTTCAAACATCAAACTCCATAAATTAATTTTCCTTTCTACATTTTTACCTTTATTTTTTCTTTTCGGCACATTTATCCATGTTTGTCTAACGGTAAAATGTACCTTTTGTTAATCGAATAAAATCACAGATAACAGACGGCCGTGGTAGAACGATCGACGCAACTCTGTGGGTAGTATGTAGTCTGTGATTCGGAAAAGTAGTAGACTTGGCATCTCAGAATTGACCCAGACCATAACGAGTTCTGATCTGCTCCTTAAACAGATCGCCTCACACCGACCTCACAGCACGTTTCAGCCGTGCTTTAGAGCATTTCCCAAAAATAAACGCGGCAATGTTCCAGATGCACGGCCAAAACGTGTTGTGAGGTTGGTGTGACGTATGCTCTGTGAGTAGCAGATCCGAACTCGGCCAGACCCACCACAGAAGAAGACTGAAGACTGGGACCGGACCCACCACTCCACACTTCACATCCAACGCGTTCACACTCGAAACAGTTGGACGAGCAGAACCGTTGGCCAGTTGGCCTCACCCTCACGCGTGGCCGCGTGGGAGTTTATACAACCTTCCATTTCCTAGGTTCGTTGATTCTATCTACGTAAGACCTTTTTAAGGTTTCTCCAAGCGGCGACGCGCGTGTACTACTCCAGCTGAACCATCATCAACAAGACGCGTACGCGAAGCGATCAGACGGTTCACATGGTTCCACTAGACTCCATTATTAAGCCATTATCTGATGAGGGAAGAAGACTCACAAATGTGACAGTTCCTTCTGATCAACAAAGTACGGTGATGATTCATGGTACGACGTTTTTCATCAAATCAAAGCCGGAACGAATTTGTCTAAAAGTAAGGGGCATTTTCGTAATTGAAGTAACCTTTGCTCCCTCGGGGTATATATATAGATAATCAACCGAACCGCGGGTCCTAGAGAAGGCCTTGCCAAATTGGGACTTCTTTTTTCGGCGTTCGTTCAACCTCTCTGTCTCTCTCTTTCTCTCTCCTGAGGTACGTAGAAGACCTTCTCTCCCTCCCCCTCTCTGGCTCTTTCTTCCTCTCTCTCTTCATCATCATAAATTCATAATCAATTAATCATCATATTTATTTAGAGAAAAAAAAAATTGGTTAATGCCCGCGATACGAGACCCCTCTTTCATTTCCTTAGATATTTTGACAAATTTATAATATTTTTGCGTCATTACGAATTAAGTATTGTCTTTATTTAGCAAAATTTTCGGGTTCTTTCTCAAGATTACATCTTAAAATTACAGTAAAGCAGAATCTGCAATGAAATGACAAGGATTGCGCATCTGGAATTTAATCAGGGGTTTCTGTTTTTCCATTTTTTTAAATCTTAATCGTGGTTAGAACAGTTGTCGGGAGGAGGGTATTGACCCATTAATTTTGAGATTTGATATTTTTGGTGAAATTAGCTGCTCAGATTGATATTTCATGATTTGTTTCTTTATTTTTTGAAGCCATTCATAATTGAAGAAGAGGGTCACCCTGTATTTTCATGTAAAAAATTTTCCCCTTTTGATTCTATTTAATCCGGGCCTTTTGTTTTCTTGTTCCGCACTCAAAGCAGATGGGAAGGGGAGGGAAATTGGCTCTTAGGCACTGTAAGAAGAGAAGGATTACCTCTCAGAGTAAGGGGTCGGATGGCTCGGATGAAGATTACGTGGTGGGAGAAGACGAGGAGGATGACGAATCATTTGATAATTCGAATTATGCATCTTTTGCTGGAGATGCTTCTGAAGAAACCTCTGATTCTGGAGCCATGAGTGGTGATGGCTTTTCAGAAGAGCTGTATGAAGAAGAAGTGGAGAACGAGGAAGAGGAGGGGAGAAAGATGGTTAGATCCAAACCACGAAGAGGTTCTTCTGGTCAAAAAAGAAGTATGCATAAACGATTTCGTAAAAGAACTATAGTTTCATCTGATGATTTTGATGAAGATGACGAATTCATGACAGATGGGACTGAGGAGGAGCGGAAGTTTGTTAAATCTAGACACCGAAGTAGTTCTTCTCGTTCGAGGAAAAGCGAGTCGAAGCGGTTGCGTAAAAGAAGTAGTAGAGGTGCATGTGAAGACGAAGAAGAAGAAACAGATGATGATTATTGTGACGAGGAATTTATTCCAGATGGAATTGATTTTGTAGATGAAGAGGAGATGGAACTTTCCAGATCAAAACCCCAAAAGGGTTCTTCTGGTCGGTCAAAAACTAGGCTCAAACGGTTGGGTAGAAGAACCAAGTTGTCAGATGATTACAACGAGGATGAAGACGATTGTGATGATGGTGATGAGGAATTCAGGCCAGATGGAATTGATTATGTAGATGATGAGGAAGAGTTGCAGGTTAGTAAGAGTAAGGGGGGAAAACGTACAACACAGAAAAAGGTATCTGTAAGGAGTCGGAAAAGGAAAAGGAAGTCCAAGGTTTCGAAGAAGCCAATGAAAAAGAGGAGGTCCAAGATATCGAGGAAGAGGGCAATAAGCTCTGATGATGATGAGTTCATAGTTGACAGCAGGTCTGTGCAGAAGAGTAAGAAGAAGCCCGGGAAAAGAAAGAAGACTGTTGTGCACTCAGATTCGGATTTCGTGAGCTCTGGATCTTCGGATTATGAGTACACAATCTCTGAGGAAGAGAGGGAGCAGGTGCGAGAAGCCAACAGTTTCTGTGGAAATTTGATAAAGTCCAGAAGAAACTCATCTCAAGCTGATGGAGATGTAAGCCATCAGCAAAGAAAAACTCGGGAAGGAAAGGGAAAAGAGAAGGTTGAGGATTTACATAATGATGTTGGGAAGCAAGTTTGTGGTATTTGCTTGACAGAAGAACGAGAGGAGACAGTTCGGGGAATATTAAATTGTTGCAGTCATTACTTTTGCTTTTCTTGTATAATAGAATGGTCAAAGGTTGAATCTCGTTGTCCATTGTGCAAACAGAGGTTTGTGACAATAAGTAAGCCTGCAAGATCAACGATAGGAATTGATCTGAGGAATGTGGTGATAAGGGTTCCAAAGCGTGATCAGGTATCTCACATCCCTGCTCTTTTTTTCCTTTTTGGTAATAACTAATAACATCTCTCTGCTCCTATCTATGAATTTTGTAACATACAATGATCATCTTTGGGGGCAAAATCTGTCTTTAAGCTTTAAAATGTCACCGACTTGTCCCTCTCCTTGAAATTTGGCAATGTGGGGGCAGTAAATTTTCATTTTCTGATTCATTGCCAGATCTAGTGACTATAATTTTCATGATTTGCCTACTCTGTTGTTCTTTAGTACTCCCTGGCTTGATAATCTAAGGCTTTCTGCAGGTTTATCGACCATCTGAAGAAGAAGTGAGGGGATATTACGATCCATATGCAAATGTGGTTTGTATGGAATGCCAACAAGGGGGGGATGATAACTTGATGTTACTTTGCGATATTTGTGATTCCCCCGCACACACCTATTGCGTTGGCCTAGGACGGGAAGTACCAGAAGGTAATTGGTACTGTGAAGGTTGTAGACCCGCTAATCCTGGATCATCCAATCTGCTTGTTCAGGATCCTGAATCACATCAGGCTACAAGCACTAACAATTTAGCCACTGGTGGAAGCAATTCTGAAGGTTATGCTGCTGCCACTCATATTTCGTCACCAGTGGCAGATCCATCATTTTCTCAAGGAATTGAAATTCCCCAATCTCCAAGATATCCTTCAGGACAAGGTTTTCCAGCTACATCTCCAATGTCAGGAGTAGGAGCATCAACTCTCTCAGGAAGACGCTGGGTACACCGTCATATGCACAATATCCTTTCCAGCAATAGGATTAGCCAAATGACTGGAATTGCAAATAGAGCTGATGCAATTGCACATTCCAATTTGGAAAGTGCTTTTGTCAACTTTCCAGTCCAGCAGCAATCGGGGCAAACAAATCAGAACACAAGGATTGTAGGAAATGTTCCATCATATTCTACAGTTATGGAAGGTAGGAGGCAGGACAGTTCCTCCTGCCCAGAGCAAGGGAGAACTCATTTATATGCAACATTGAATCATCTAAGGAGGCAAGTAACTCAAGACCCATCTACTGCCATTGCTTCTGCCAGTGGAATGTTATGTGCTGAACTTGCAGGAATCAATGTGGCGTCAGGTTGTGAGCAATTACATTCCGGTGGCAGGCCAGGCTTTGGTTTTCATGACAGCATATCTCCGGGTGCACATAATGTTGGGAACCATTTACATGAAGCGAAAGGCACAAAAGAACAATTGCAATCAATGGTGAAAAGCCATTTGAAATGCCTATCCAAAGGCACTCAACTAGGTAAGTGCAATTTGTTTGGTTGCAGACCTTGCTTTGTACTATTGAAGGTTAGAAAATTCATACTGTAGTTGGTCTGACAGGAGGCAAAGCTTCTGCCTCCCTGCCTGAATTTGCTGAGGTATTATATTGCTCAAGCACACCCTGACAAAGGTATTTTGGTATTTGCACGGTTCTGAATCAATGTATTTGTGTGTAGACCAAAATATCTCTTGGCAGTGTTTTTTTACCCTGGTTATACCATAGTGGATCCGTCCAAGCTCAACAAGTAACTCATGATCATCCTCCTCAAGGTAGCTTTCATGTTGGTTTTTTTAGTATGTTGATCCAAGACACAAAAAGTCTAATCCATTTGGTGAGATGACTCGGTATGTAGTCATCAGGTATATAAAAATGCATGCAACTTAGTTTGGCATCTAACCTGCTTGCTATCAGTCACCCAATGCAAGGACAGGTATACTGCCCACATTTATGCTTAAAAGCATAGGCCGTAGGGTCTGCTGTCCCCATGTCTGTTGTTACTTGTTAGGATAGAGCAGGTATGGAGCCTTGTTTCTATATATTTTTTGATGTGGGGTAGTGTGTAGGGATATTGGAATGGGGATCCAAAACAGATTCAGGTTTTCCCCTTGCTCCAAGCCAAAGAGGCCTGCCTTAACATGACAAAAAGAATCATTTTCTCAGGTGATCTTATTTGAGAAAAAGGAAAATCCAACAAGTGTATGGTGGAAAAAAGTGCAGTGTACAGTAGTCTATGTGGATGCTGTGGACAAAGACGTTATACAAATTGGTAGTCTCCAAGTTATTCCCCCATCAAATGGATGGTCTGGACCCACCATCCACATTGACAGAACAACGTACCCTTTTTCTTTTCCCTATTTTGGTAAGTCCAATAACCCGTCAAAGAGAAAAGAAGTTCCACAAACTGTTACTTTTTGTCACCCCTGTTGTAAGTTGTAACCATGTGATTAAAATTTGAAACTTAAAAGGATGTTATTACCTTGAGTTCTGAATTTGCGGGGAGTTCATTTGGGGTATGACCATGTATTGCCAAGGTTATGATGTGTACCAATCAAATCTAACCACGTGGCAAAGTTTTAAGATTTAACCTAGGCTGGCACATGGTTATAGCCAAAGTGAGAGAACTCCCATTATATAGTTGGTTAAGAAAAGGTAGAAAAGGGACCAACAAGTCTCTGCTTTGCAGAAGGATGTGCATTCAAGGACATTGCCAGGCGATCTACACACACCATTTTAGCTGCTTGTGGGCTGGAGCACGATAGAAGTGTTGCCATTCCGGTGCTGCAGCGTCCACTACACTTTTGCCCCCATGTTGAAAAAGTGGGTGAATCAAGAAACCTGATGAAAGATTGCTGCTCATCGTGCATCAATTCCTTGGTCAGAGATGTAGTAACCATGGTCATGAACACAAGGATGCAGTCCGCAGGGTAGGCCGTAGGCCGTGCCTGAAAAGAAGGCTTCTTCATTGGTGAAACACATCATCTTCGATTTATTTATTTTTTTAAATATTTTTGTTACAAAAATATGAATTGGCCGATTTTGAACAGTAAATGGTTTAACCTATTTATTGGTTCAGTTTTAGTTTCAAAGTGTATACTTGTTAACCGTTAACTTCATTGGGGGGTGGGGGGGAAGGAAATTAAATACAGATCGGAATAACAAGGTTATCTGATTTCTTTGTCCTTGCTGTATTATTGGTAACACTATTTATTTAACATAACCTAACCTGATATTCTAAAGGTTCATACTTAACTTGTGTGGAGAACGAGAGGATGACTCGTAAATTTTCAAAATGTAACTTTGCTTTTCATCATCAAGTTTGGAATATAGTGTGCAGGCCAAGTGTGGCCCCCATGATGGAGGGTAACTCAATCATTGATTAGTGGGATAGAATGCAAAATGATGATAACATGGAATGGGAAAAACTAAGAACTGAATTGGTTTTTATTTTTATGGAGGTTATGTAGAACGAGAAAATCTTTAAAAATTAAAGTTTTTTTATCTCTCTTGTGATTCTCCGTGATAAAGCTAGAGAGGAGGCGTTGAATTCCAATCTCCTAATAAGATTAATGACACTAGAGAGAGAAATTATTTTTGGGTCAGATGAGTCCCCTAAAGAGCCCATTGTATCAAGATAAACTTAGATGCTTCCAGAAAAGAGGATGGTACCTCAGCTATTGGGTGCATTGTTAGGCATGATATAGGTAGAACAATCAGCCTAAGTGGTAAAAATATCAGCTCGTCCTCCATCAATGTTGCCGAAGCATGGGCTGCCCTCAATCTTGGCTAAGTTCTGAGTAAACTCAAAGGCCCCATTGGCTTTTTGGAAATACACTTTTCATGTTTTTTTTTTATTTCCCAGGTAAATAGGCAATGACTATTTTAGCCATAAAAAGTCATTATTAAAAGAGGCAATTTTGTCTCATCTCAGTATTGTCAACTTTTCCCTCAGGTGGGTAAAAAAGTTACTTATCCACCTGTGACTGAAAGATAGGATTACTTACACAGGGAAAATAAATTTTCCATGAACCCCACATAAATCTAAAAAAAGAACATGAATAGCTCAATCAATGAGAACCAAAACCCCATTTCATTTTCTCCATTCCAAAATCTGAAAAACGAACAGGCCCAAATATTATCATCAAAGGAGATCCAAAGCTGATCATGGATTGTTCAAGGGGCAGGAATGACCCTCCTTGAGTATATGAACATCATTGAATAATATTATTTGGTCTGCAGCAGGATGGGGTCTAACATCCAATGCGCACATCTACACAAGCAAATTTTGTGGCGGATTAGTTGGCAAATATGGTCATGAGTCTCGGTCTACGGATCAACTTGTCTTAAATAGTTTTCTCTTAGCTTTGTTTTAGTGATGCTTTGGGGGAAGCCCGGGAACAAGGTTTAAAGTTTCGATAGGCCTCTGTATATTGGTAGAGGCGTATCGGAACTTAGAAACACTGAGAAACTCTTTTTTTTTTCTTTTTTTTTTCAAAATTTAGTTTTTGGGGAGTTAAAAACATGATTTTTTTTATTGAAAATGAGTAATCCCGAAACACCTAGAAACAGGCATAGCGAAACCCAAAATATACAAATACGATACGTCCAATACAAGATATATTGTATCAAAAATTTGAACCTTATCTGAGAGGGCTACCCCGTGTTGTGTAACCCTTTCTTTTCTCTTTAAAAAAAACAAAAAAGTGGTTTTATCCGTTCAAACCGGATGATTGACCAGTGACTCATCACCCATAAAAACACTGGATTGGTCACCGGATCGGCTTTTAAAATGCTGGGCCAGGTCAAAATATAATTGACAATTTCTGGATCCTAAAAATTTCTGCAATTTTAATGAAATGCGACTAAACTTTTTCTTGGCGGCATGACAGGGTGAAATTTGAAGAGCTGACAAACGTGAAAATCAGAATAGGCGTGTTGGAGTAGTCTCAGTGACCACTCCGTGCTAAAATGTCCGCGTATTCAAACAATCAAACGATAGCAGTTTTTTTTCTTTTTTTCATCTACAGATCTACAGCAGCTCATCTAGCCTAACATGTCTTGCAGCAGGATTAAATCTATGCAATTTCATAGATCTGAAGGACAACAGTTTCTAAAAAATGTTATCAGTTACTAAAAAATGTTAAGGTCATTTTGGTTCGTAGTTGGAATCGAAATCAGAATCAAAATTCTCTAGAATCAGAACCGGAATAGTTCATTCCCATAGTCTGTTTGGTTTAAAAGGAATGGAAATGAGAATTAAAATCAAGAATGGGATTTAATTCTCAAGGAAGGGGCAGGGAATGGCCATTGGAATGAACCTAAGTTTATAAAAAATCATAACGCTTCCATTGAGGTATATAAAATCCACATATAAGAGTAAGACTAGCATTAGACTTCCTATCCCCTGGTCATCGAGGATTATTTATTTTCATAAACAGGATTCATTAGTATTATGCAAAAGATTGATAAAAAAGTTGGTCAATATAATTTACAAATGTCTGAGAACTGAATATTGAAGAAGCTACTTAATTGTATAGCAAAAAAAAACACTTCTATTTCTCATGCTAGGCATGGCACACCTCCCAGCAATGAACAGCTTCCACATGAATTCAAGTTTAGTTACGTATAGACTGTTAATTGGTCCATAATGAAATCAATGGCACTTGAACCAGGGCTTAGCAGGCTTTTTGCTGCAACAAGTGATTCTTAAGAAATGCACTTCCTCTCTCACATCTTTTCAGGTACATGCTTGTCCAAGAATGCTCTTGCCAGATTGCTGAAGCTTACATTAACTGCTCCAGCTGCAGCATACCCTTGGATGACTTCAACCACTTCTGGCCTCAGAATCTCTTCCTTGGTGGATGCAGTACAGAGATAATACAAAGAACCAAGAGCATAGTTTACCTGCCAACCACATTTGATATGTACATGGAATTCAGATCATTAGTAATAGAATTTTATGCAAAATTATTAGAAACTCCAAGGAATGTCAGAAATTTATGTTTTTCTTTTGCTAGTAAACAAAAGTTCATGCAACTTTAATATTTCTTGCCCTAGAGGCAAAGTGGGACCCATGGAAGGAACATTATAAGACAAATTTGCACATGCCTTTTCAAGGTCCCAGATAGCTTGTAGGGCAAAGAAAACCAAGAGTTGCATTAACTCGTTGCTTACCAGCATTAGACTTTTTTGTGGACATGTAACAAACATAATTTTGTAAGTTTCACTTGATCAAGGGTAAATGGCAAGCATACATCAATTTCATAATTCTCCAATGCTTGATTATGAACAAAGTCCCGGCATAGAATGAATGCTCTGTGAACAAAGTTCCGGCATTCATGCACAAACCATATAAATTGCATATTACTTGTTGTTCAGTCATCTTCAGCATATTCCTAACCTATCTTATTTTCCTAGATTGACCATTAGTATTGGTAATTGCTTTACTGATGGTACAAAAGCAGGGTAACATTGGGTATAATCTAATTGTCTGATTTTAAAAAGTACATAATGGAAGGAGTAGCCATTATTTGGAAATTGATAATGGAAACAAACAATGTGCATACAAAGATGATAGTCAAGAAGTTTGGATTAATTTTAATCAAGTTCATTAGAATGTTTAATCAGAGCTACCCATCTGACCTCCAAAATCCCCTCTCCCACCCCAACAAAAGTTAAAATACAAAAAGAAGAAAAAGAACAAAGAAAACCCTAAAACAAGCAAATAAATAGCATGTAAGGGCCTATGTACTTACAGTGTTTCTAACTGGACTAGATAAACATTGTATGATCAGAGGAATGCCACCACACCGAGTGATAACTGCAGCATTTTCTGGATCTATAGGAAAAAAAGAAAGTCACGTTTAGGTACTTCTGGGTATTTTCTTCTTGTAGTACTTTGTGTACTGTTGGGAAAAAATGCAGGTTTATAGCAGTAATCAGATTAACTAAAAGTAAAATGCATGCTCATTGTGGCAATCAGATTTAACAGAAAGGGATTCAGATTTTTGGTCTTACCTACACATGAGTTGCAAATCCCACCAGCCCCAAATTCCACAAGTTTCTCATTTGGCTCCGTTATGCAGTCAAGGAATAGTTCCAGAACATTAAGCTGTTTTAGCAACATATGGATGTGTTATTGGATGTATTTGATACTTTGATGTAAGAACAAGATTCTTGCACATTCTGAATATTAAAGTTGATCCAATATTGTTTTGAACCTGGCGTAGAAAGGTATAATTATAAGGATCATAAGCAAAGTTTGCCAAATGAGCAACTATTCTCTCCTTTGACTCTGTAAAAGAAAGATCCCTGAATCAAAAAAAAAAAAGATAAAACATAAGACATCAATCCACCAAGCACAATACTAACAGTCCTATCTGGTACCTGCCCAGTTTCTGTTGGTTTTAGTTCAGCCAATCCAATTAGGGGGTTCAAGTCAGGCACCTAATTTGAAAACTTTACACTGTTACAGACTAGGGCTTTCAGGTCAGGCCCACTCTAATTTTACCAAATTATCAACCTGAGCCTGCCCAAGTTGCATCTAAGTTTAATTCCAGAGTCAGATCTCTATTTTGAAGGGTTTCTTCAATTTTCAAGTTTTTTCATAGGTCTTGATTTAGAAGTCAATTTCTCCTCATAAATTCATGTCAAATTTGTAATATGTCAAAAAAAATGGGGTTTTACTGTTCAGTCCACCCCCACAAATCTTAGCTCCACCATACAGTTGGGGTAGGTGCCAGCTCAGAATTGATGCCAATACACGGGCAGGTATTGCTGTTTAGGTGGAGGTGATTGAAATTTTGAATTGATGTAGGTCTGCAGTGGAATTCAGAATTCTGAGGTGGAGTGCAGTCAACTTATCCCAAAAAATAAAAAACTATTTGTGGAAGATTCTATACAAGTTTTTCTTAGCTCTGAAGTTGTTTCATCTGTATGTGTTGGGAAGTGTTTAAAAGTCTTTTTTTATCAATAACAAAACTTTCATTAATCAATTAGAATAATTAATTACAAAAAATGGGGGATAAACTATCTTAACTCCCCCAACAGAGGCTAGAGCCCCCAAAAAGAAAGAACCAGAATTACAATTGAGCCCAGAATAGAGAATCCCCAATCACCCCTTGCTTGGCTAACCCATCAGCAAACAAGTTAGCAGATCTCTTCAACCAACTGTGCTTTATGTCCATGTCTTTAGCCAGCCACTTGAATTTTTTTTTCTTTTCATCGCTGTAGCTCCACAACCCAGTCTTATCTTCTTTCAGCCACACCCTATTACCACCTATGAATCCCCTTCAACTACAAGCCTCCACAACTGTACTTTATTTCCATGTCCTCAGCCAGCCACTTGAATTTTTTTCTTTTCATCATTTTAACTCCACAACCCAATCTTATCTTCTTTCAGCCACTCTATTACCACCTCCAAATCCCCTTCAACTACAAGCCTCCTTATTTTCATTTCTTTTGCCCTTTGGACACCTTCCAAGGCCACATAAAGATCTCAGTGCTAAGATAATCACTTACACCAATGGGCCTGAGAAGATGGCTGAAACAATCCCATTCTCATCCCTGAACACTCCCCCAATGCCAGATTGCCTGGGGTTCCCTCTACTACTGCCATCAAAGTTCAGCTTTATAAAACCAGTGGGGAGAGGGATCCAAGACAGATTTAGACCCGCTTTAACCTGAGCAAAGCTAGCAATCTCTTTCCACTTTCTCAGCAAATCATCCAAAGTAAAGTCCATAAATAAATTCAAGGATTTTAACCAGTGTGTCACCCTTATGTGGATTAGTTCTATTACATTTTCAATGTTCCTCTCTTTTTCTGAGAAGATTCTTGAGTTTCTTTTTTCCCACAAAGACCAACACACAGCAGCCCTTAGGCATCTCCACATAATCCTTCCTCTTTTCAAATGCCACCTAAAGGAGGAAGAAAATAGGCTTTGCACATTCGATGGGGGATTCCACCTACACACAAAAAGGGAGAATGCCCATTCCCAAATAGGTTTTGCAAAATGAAGAAACTAGTAGGTGATACCAGTCTCCCCATCAACTTTGCAGAGAATACACCTATGTAGGGATAAACAAGTCTTGGGTCTCTTTCTTTGATGCAAATCACTAGTGTTGATTCTTTCCAGGAAAGTTTACCAACAAAAACTCCCAACCCTAGGAGGAATTGGCTTGCACTAAATCTCTTTAACAGTGTTTAAAAGTCCTTGGGTGTGATGCTAAAGGATTTTCTTCTTTGAAAGCCTTGTATTCAGGAAGAAGGATACAACTTCCCTAACCATCTTCTTCTCTAGATGTTTTTTTTTCCACCATAAAAGATTAACCATCCTTGAAGCTGCCCTGTATCAGATTGCTTCTTAAACAATTTAAACATTGGGAAGTCCAGCATAGATAAGGCAATTATCAAATGCTGATCCCTGCTATCCAAGGTTAGTAGGGGTAGACTGTGGAGTGTATATGGACCTAATCTCAAGCATTTTAGCATGAAGAGGCCATGTGTGGATTCTAATCCAAGATCTTATGCTTGTTAACCCAAGATTTTATCATCACACCAACATAGATGGTGGCAATAAATCATTTGGCTCATAATTAGTTCTGCATTCCTATCAGTTTTCTAGTGATCTAGATTGTAAAATCCACAAAGGCCAAATGGAGTGTATGGAAATCTTTTACTAATTAGTGGCAAGAAATATTCTTGCCAAACTCCATCTTTTGTACCAGCGAGAGGGCCCACTATACTAAACATATTGCCTACACATTTGCTCATTTATCATGCTCTGTTGGTTTAGGGTTTGTGTCTTCCTTCTCCAATACATTATCTTCACTTGTGAAAAAAAAAAAAGGAATAAACAAATAATCACCAGACAAGAATTGTTCCTTCAGTGAAAAGTTTCAAATGAAAGATTCATATAAATCAGAAGATTATAATAAAGTCAAAAGCAAATTTATGTTTTTATGTTCTAGTCTTTCTTACTAGTTGCTAAACTGCAACTTTGTTACTCCTTCCTTGGTGCCATGATGTGAAATCTGCTTCTTTGAGGCATGCAATAAAGATAGGAAACAGAAAAAGAAAAAAAAAAAATAGAAGAGCAAAAGGTTGTGACCTCAATGCTGCATACCTTCATCAGTTGTGTTCTGAAACTCACTAACCAACTCCTACAAAAAAGATAGAATAGGGGTAGACAAAGTAGTTAGCATTAACTACAGTAAATACAATAGCTTAGTTGTTTTCTAGAGATTTTTACTGTTGATCTTATACATGAGAACCAAAGACAACTAAGGCATGGCTTGGGTAAACTCATGAAATGCATTAAAAGAGTTGATACTGATCAGTGTATGAGACATCATAAATCAATGTTTTAAAAGGTGGAGGCGTGATGCGAGGTGTTCCAGTTCATGGGAGCATTGGAAATAGTTCAGAACGTAAGAGGTGTAAACCTCCCGAACACAAGGAGGTGTAAGCCTCCTTAAGAAGAGGGGGATGAAAAGGAGGAAGTGTAAGCCTCCTTTTTCTTTTTCTTTTTTTCTTCTCTTTCTTTTTTCTTTCCCCTCCCTTTCTTTTCCTTTCCCTTCCTTTCTTTTTTTGTCTTTTTATGAGGTGTGCGTGAGGCACGAGGCATATGCCTCAGAGGTATAAATACTGTCATAAACAACTTCTATAGACAAAACAAAGCGAGAAAAAAAAAATATAGTTAAAAGCCAACCGGTTGGTGTTTAAGTGTTAACAATATTCAATTTGTTTAGAGTTCCATTTTTAAAGGCAAAAACCTCATCATCATCATCAAAGCCTTATCCCAACTATATGGGGCTGGCTACATGAATCCTGTTTCACCATTTCATTCTGTTCAGTGTCATATCCATCATCAAATTAAGGGCACTTAATCATTTCTTATTACTTCCACCCAAGTCCTTTTCAGCCTGCCCCTAGCTCTTCTCATCCCTTCAACTTGTAACAGATCACTTCATCTAATTCTTCTAACAGGTGCTGTATATGATCTTCTATGCATGCGACCAATACCACCTCAGTCTACTTTTCTCATTTTATCACCTCTCAAATTTTCATTCCAAGGTAACAATTCATTGACCAAGTAATTGAAGCATACCATAAACCTTTATACCAAGTAAATGAAAACTGTAACTGCAGTAACCAAATACATTTTTTTTTCTTTTTTTTTTTTTTTNGGAGGGGAGGAGGGAGGAAGAAATGAGAAAAAATCAGGTATCATTCCCTCAAGTCTCCACTAGTAACTACTCATCATTGGATTGGAAAATGAAAAAGAAAGTTTAATTTATCAGGAAAAGAATTGTGAAGTATGAATATCTTCTGAAGCACAGTTAACTGTATGAAGGGTACCTGAAGGTATTGGACCCTTGGAGTGCCGTATCTTCCTGTACGCTCTGCTTGCCTCCGATCATTAGTAAACATGATAGGTTCTACAATTATTGCAACAAATGGATTCTTTGATTCAATGTGCTTCCATATTACTGTGAAAAGGATTCTGTTCTCATTCTCTTCATGATTCTCTGATTATTTGTCCATTGCTACCTTTTCTTTTATGATCCTTTAGTTTGAGTTACAGGCTCGAGAACAAGAAGAGTCTATGCAAATGTTCACAGTGCTTCAATTATATTGGCAGCTATAGGCAAAAACAGAGGATGAGAGGAAACCTGCTGGGCAGTTGAATTCAAACAATAAAATATTTCAGCTTTAAAGGAACAGTAGAGAAAAAGAATCGTCATCATCCAAGCCTTGTCCCAACTATATGGAGTCGGCTACACAAGTCATGTTTTGCCATTCGGTTCTATGTAGAAGACAAAACGCATCAGCTTAAAACATATCATTTATATCAAAATGATTAAATTTAACAGTCAGAGGAAAAAAGAGTTTTCTTTTTTTTTGGGAGGGGGAGGTGTTAAACTATTGAGTTGAGTTTCACTAGCCCTATTTGGTTGATAATTTGACTTTTTTTTACATTTCTCTTTTTATTTTGAACAAAACATTATTAAAGGCAGGCAACTTATAGGGAGACCCACATACTTTGAAAGGGGTGTGACCCTTAGCCACCTATACTTTTTGTCTTTATTGGCATTTAGTCCCTAGTACTTTTTCATGGTGTTTAGGGATGACAGTAGATCGAATTAAATGGTTAAAACACCTTGACCTAACAAATTATGTCAGGTTTGAGTAGATGTGATCAGGTTTTGGGCCAAATTTAGGTTGAGGCTAACTTGCATCAGACTCAATCCATTGACATGTTGACATTGAAAAAGGAAATTGCAAACATAGCCTTCGCTAAGGATATGGCAGGACAGATGTGGATCATAAGCATAGACTTTGCTAAGCCCCAATACCGTACTCTACATTAAATGTTTTTTTATCAGTAAAGAAGGAAAAATTTTATTAAATTGAAAAAACAGATTACAACCAGCACGAAATTACAGATAGAGCTACAAAAAGAATTACAAAACTGCCCAGAAAAGATGTCATCTGTAAACTCCTTGTTTTGCTAGCGAGTCAGGGAGCATTACCTCAGAAATTGGACCAAGAAATCACCAGTTTTGAATCTCCTTCAACCTCCAAGTTTTTAAAATCTGCTTGTTTGGCTAATTTTAACCCCTGAAGAAGTGCATGAAGCTCAGCCTTTATTGAGTCTCCAACCCCTATAGGCCCTGAATACATAGCCAGCACTTTGTTTGCTGAATCTCTGAAGACACCCCCTATTCCTGCCAATCCCAGGTTCCCCATGGAGTTTCCATCAAAATTCAGCTTTACCTTAGTTGGAGCCGGGGGCTTCTATTCCATTCCCATCTTTTCTTTCTTCTTAGATGAAGAGGCCACTCTTTCCAAGCCCACAAGATATCAGCCACCTGAGAAGCTTTGGAACAGCTTAAGAGGTTTTACCCAATGAGCAACTTTTATCTTTATAGTTTCCACCAACTCTTCTTTTGATCTGCACTTTCCATTGATCTACACTATATGTTATCCAAGGTTTTTGAAAGGCTAAATGTGGAGGTTAAGCAGTTGGATCTGGGAGAGGCAAGGTGTAAACCTCAAGACTCAAAAAATTATGAACATAGTTTGTAAATAATAGACATGAAAAAACATTGTCTAACTAAATTTTTATCTAATTCTATGTGGCTTATTTGGCATACCAATAGTCTAATAAGTAATAACCAATAATTAAAGGTTTGGATCTCACAAGAAATGCTTTTCTAAACTTTTTTAGGCTTATCAAAATAATTAATATAAAAAATATGTATTAATGGTTTTTCACCTTTTCTTGCTGTTTCTGTTTCCTGGGTTTGTAATCTGAGCATTTTTTCAATATAAATTGCATTCAGGCTTCAAAATAACTTCAAATGTAAAATTTATATTGTTCAATATATGAATCATATTTATGCATTTTTTGTATGAACAATAATAAATTTATTAATTCAGAAGCAGATTTAGAGTGAGTTCATAAAACATCCCAGGGAGAGGCGCGAGCTGCAGCCCCTCCTTGAATCTTACAAGTAAACTAGGAAAGAAAAGCAAGAATCACAACTGAGCCCAAAACAATTCTTCCCTATTTACCCCTTGCTT